AAGCAGTGGTATCAACGCAGAGTACTTGAGAAATGCCCAGTTTCACACATATCCATGCAGAATGAGCTCTTAAACTATGCCTGCCCTATTTCTGCAGTGCCCAACAGAATGTGTATGTAGCCTCTGGAATCAGCACACTGAATGATCCATTTACACTAAAATTCCGGAAAAAAACTTATATCCCACATCTAGGCATTTGTAAACTGGAAGATGCGCCTCGCCGAGCTGAGTTGAATGGTACTCTTATATATAGAATTTACAAAGTTTGAATCAAGATAAGGTCTTTTTTATAAAAAAGTTAGGCGTTGCGCGACAAAGTTAGGCGGCAAATGCCGCTTTTCCGCCTAACTTTGTCGCGCGACGCGGCGTTTGCCACCTAACTGTGGCGGCGCCGCGTGAGTTAAGTGCCGCCGCCATTTCTTTTCACAAATTACGGGTGGATTGTATGTAGAACTCTACTGGGACTGTTTATAGAATGCGTCACAATTTCAAAGCACAGCCTGGAAGAAAAATTTTTCGCAAAAAAATTGAAAAATCCTAATACCTAATAAAATACCCTATTTTCTTGAGTAAATGATGATTCTTCTTTTTTCCACGGAATGATTCGAATCCTTGATTGCTGCAAATGTGGTTGGGATAATGTCTTGCACATCTTTTGGGCCCATCACCCAGGCGTGACGATCCTCACAAAATCGACGCCAACTGCGAAAACACGCATGGTCAAAGACAAGTTTGAGAGCTTGTAATTCTTGTGCGCATATCGCAAAATCCGAGCGCAGCTGCGATTTGAAGTGGACAGCCTCCTTATTCACACTGACCAACCCTTAAATGGTTTTCTTTGTTCATTGCGAAAAAATGGCAGCAAAAAGAAACATTGTGAAATTTTCATCGTTGCGCAGACTTTCTATTTTGGTGTGTAGGTCAAATACGGTTTGACAACCATGAAAACTGGATGCGAGATTGGAAAACCCAGGCTTTCATCTATTAGGTTGTCCCAAAAGTAAACTTCTTTTTCGAATAACTCAAGCTGTTTTTGATTTTCTAGTACATTCAGGGTATCATTCGATAGAGCAGATCAAGTTCTACAAAATGACCGCCAAGAGTCCGCCTAAGTCGCCTTCCATGTACAATTTGGAGCCAAAATCGAAAAAAATTTTGTCACCTGAAAATGGATTTCTGAGACAAAGAATCCTACAGATCTCCAATTTGGTCATTTGCAGAACGCATGTAGTGGTACTTAAATATGCCTTTGCCGAAAATTTTCCGAGCATAGAAAGCGAGAAACAAAAATTGTCCAAAAATGGCAAACTCCGCCGCCAGCCCCTCCCACATATGTCATTGTATACTACAAGCCTTAAGTATAATCTCAAGACTTACCCCTATATGTCCTCTTATATTCGAGAAATACCAAGTTTTACATAAGAAACTGAAAAAAGTGGCATTTGGCATTTTGGGACCCTATTTCTTTCTCAATTTTGAGCCCCGGAAAAAATCTACCGAATACATTTTTGGGTACTACTATTTATCTACCATATAATGACCAAGTTGGAAGTCCATAGGAATTTTCTGGAAGGGAATCCGATTTTTAGGGTAGCTGAAAAATTTTGGTTTTTGGCTCCAAAATTTACTTAGGTTACGAATTAGGTGGAACTTTTTTAGTCTTTTTGTAAAGGTTGATGGGCTCTGCCGAATGGTACCCTAAATCTGTCAAAAAAAACAGCTCAAGTTATTTGAAAATAGAGTTTACTCTTGGGACAACCTAATAAGAACCATATAAAATATCTGTCGTTAAACTTCAAGCGAGTGCGAAAAAAATAAACAAAAATTTTTTTCAAATGAAGGTGCGTGACGTTACCCACACACTCCGAAAAATTTTAGGCGTGCTCCTCAAAGTTTTTGCGGGTCACACCCCCGAAAAATTTTCTTTATGAGGCTAATGTGAATTTTAAAGAAGTTTTGAAATTTATTTTAATTGTTTACAAGAATAAACAAGTCACTTGCACATTTTTATAACCCACGTAGGTAAATTTCAAAGACTTTGCGACCCATTCTGGGGGGGGGGGGGGCGTCTTCCCCTCGGTCCGCCATTGGTAAACGCTGAGTGAGAAAACTTTGAGACTTAGGCAACCAGATAGTCGACCAGCTCATCCGAACTATATCAACAAGTTGGAACGCTGTTATAAAATCCGGCACCGTTCACAATATAAAGTCAATTATTCATCCTTACCAAAAAGACCTGTTTTTCGGATGATAAACTTAGCAATGGCAATCCTAGGATTTCCATTGGCGGAGGGGGGAGGGGGAGGGGGAAGGAAGAGGAGGCGTAACAAAAATATGTATAATAAACGTGCGTGGCGTTAGCCATTCACTCCTAAGAATTGGAACGCCTCCCTAATTCTTGCAACCCCCCCCCCCCCCAAAAAAAAAATTTCAGCAAAAGGGATGCATTTCCAAAAATCATCTCAATTATTCAAGAGTATAAATAACTAACTTGCGCTATAGCCCATGTAAGTAGCTTCTGGAAATCCCCCCCCCCCCCCCACCCCTTCCTCCCCGTCCCCTCGGTCCGCCCTGATTGTAAGTAATAAAATCGACTAGAGTACGCTTTGTCGGGTTGGAAAACAGCTTTAACAGCTTTGGCGATACTCTTCTCCTGTGCTACAAAAAAATGTATGTCTTCTCAGTCTCTCTTTCTAGCCTTCCGGGACAAAGGTTTGTCATTTTTTCATAACAGAAATCATTGCACTTCGCATATTCTAGGTCACGTTTCTGACTCGTCGTTGGGTAGAACATCAACCTCCATAGCCTGGTTAGAGAGTAGCTTGATTTTTGAGGTGTAGTCAAGCGAAAAGTCTCAAATTCAGCTTCGGTAAAGTTACGTCCGTCGCTTAACACTTATGCCAAAACAAATGTTACTTCATCAAAGATGCTTTCTCTATGCCAAATCCAGCTCGTGCCTTGAATCTCAGATCGTGCTTGATACCGTTTACTTTTTTGGCGCTGTTGTTTTTCAATAATTAGCCATTGCTTACTGTTGAGTATACTATTATTTGCTGAAATCGTAGTCTGCATCCAAAAGGAATCCAGAATTCGCAAAAAATACTTCCAGTTTTCAAAAATTACCTACCATAACCTTAACTTATAAGGCTAACCTACAAAGCAGACTGTTTGTCGTAACCAGCAGGCTAGATAATTTTTATCAGCAAGTCGAGAATTATGGCTCTTTAATTTTTTTCTCATTCTAGGCCCTAAAGCTCACCGACAGACCGAAATATCGTTGATGAATCCGGCTGCTACGATCGCACTCTATGCGCACTGTTAATCCGCAAAAGTTCGCTTTGAAGAGCTGAACATGATGTTTTTTTTTTCTTATTTTGTGCACTCTGAAGAAGTCATGAATTTTTTGAGGAAGTATGGGCGGTGTTGTATGTTGTGCAAGATTCTAATTCGAAACTCAGTTCTATGCTGCCTATATCATTGGAACTAACTTCAAACTCTTCAATTTTTTACAAAACACTGCGGGCTCGACTCAAAGCTGAATCCTTGCACTCCGCAGAAAAAATACGCATGAGAGAAATGTTCCAATGAGATTGGAAAAGTTTGTTCTTTTTGTTTTGTTGACACTAGGGAGAATGCTGTAGTCGCTCCATTTTTTTCTCCATCAACAAAAGAATGTTTGTTTTCAAAGTGTAGAGAAAATAGGACACTTATTATTAACATGGCATAACAGTTAGTAACAAATAGAACAACATTTGTGAGAACTATGCTTCAACAGTAACATGGTAAATGTAACAGTCTTACGTAGTGATCTATTCGCTCATTTAGCTTGTAGCGAGACCACGGGTACTTTCGATTTGTCGACATCCTCGAATGGATAGAACGGATGTTTAATTGCGCTGAAATCACAACAGATCTCGTCAAACCCACACATCATATCAAAACTTTGTGTTAACAAAGGCTGAAGAGAGAAAACAAAAGTGCAACTTACAAATCGAACAAAAACAGTCTCGTCCTCTTTTTGATACTGTCAAGTTTTTCCATTTCCTGTGCACTCAGAGTAAAGTCGAATACATTAAAATTTTCCTTCACACTGTAAATAAAACACATGTAAATTTGGTTGGAATTTTATAAGAGAGTCCAGCAAGCGAAAGTCAGTTGATGAGTTAGCAACTAGTTAGTTGAGGGTAAACCACATACCGTTCTGGCTTAACACTTTTCGGAATGACTGCGATCCCGCGCTGGATGAGATGGCGCAACAAAACCTGTGCCGTGGTTTTCTTGTACTTCTCAGCGAATTCTTTCACTAACGGATCCGTCAGCGGGTCACCTTCGGGCCATATCATCTTCTCGTTGAAAACCTGAAAGTGACTGCTTTGTGAGAGCTCAATGAACTGATCCTTTTTGATCTGCAGACAGTTCTGCCTCGGGATCCTAACGGGCCATAAGCCGTCAGTGACATATTCAGCTTCTTACAGAGTTGAAACAACTCCGTTTGTGGCCAATACAGATGGCATTCGACCTGAACATACACATGCTGTAGTAAGCTACCGTAAGATGATACTAACGTATGCGAATTGCGGGGTAAGATACCTGGAGATTAGAAGGCTTAATTCGTGCATGGTCATAAACGTTCTGCACCTGTTTGGTGTTGAAATTTGACAGTCCCAAAGCCTAAAGAAATTCTCGCGAGATAGTATGCTATTTTGAAGTTAAGCTACCTTGACTTTTCCGGCATCGTAGAGCTTTTCCATAGCATGCCAAGTTTCGACATGGTCGATAGTTAGTGGTACTTGCATGCCATCCACAAATGCAAGGTCAAAAGTGTCACCTTGCTTCTGAAAGTCACACATAAAAAAATTGAAATTGCTTTGAATAAAAATTTGAGACCAGCTGTTCAGATGCTCTGGTCCGGTCATAGATACGGGTTTTATCTTTAAAAGTACATAAATAATTCTTTAACAGTATGAGCTACTACGGACCTACCAAAATACGAAAAGATCTGATTTATTTGACTGCACAACAATGCTTGCCATCTGCATCTTCCCATCATAAATTTCCGAAAGAAATTTCAAGCACTTATATCTTATTGCATTCTCGCATTTCAACTCTTCAGATGGGTTTAAATGCAGCAAGTTTTGACCGGAATGGGCTTATAGGCTACTGTCGAAGAAGACGCAATAAAGGCGCGAACGCGGTTTTGCTTAGCTGCGGAGCAGAGCAGGATTTCCTCTCACTGGTAGTGACGACGTCTCAGAGGCACCGTACACCCTAAATTAGGGGTGTGAGTTTTTGCCAGCTTACAATAGTGGAACCCCCTATCAAGCTATTGCCTAACTCGCTGCGCAAAATGTCGCTTCGGGGCGAAGAAGCATTTAGACCCCAAGCACCGCCCCCTCCAGTAATGCCCGCCCATTAGTGCGCGCCATCCACCACCGTTTCGCAAAACCGGCCTGGGGTTTTTTCTGAGTAGGGATTGTTGGAGTTTTTGCGGATTCTCAAATTCATATTTGCAATCAGTGACACGAGAAGGCCTCGGAACGACCAAAACATGGAAGTCGAGAATCAGAGTGGACGGTGCCTTATTTTCCTGAGCTTGGAAAGGGCTCAGAGGCATGCCTCAGTCGTTAGAAGTAGAAAATTGGTCAGCGAATAAGTTCGCTAGAGCGGCGCAAGCCCAAACGACGCGGTCGCGCGCGAGATTCGACAGCACGAGATGGCGTCAATGCCATTGAGATGGAAGTAACAACAGTGAAGATACGTGCGCGCTGCGCACCCACTCAAAACTGCTTTTGCGGTCTGGTTGTACTCCCTGGTCTGGGCGTCTTTACATTCTTTATATGTCATTAGGTATTAGATAATAGTTTCGATAAAAAGATCCTAAAGTCATCAAGAAGGTTTGCTTTTTTATCAAACAATCACATAAAAAAACAAACCTGAAAAGGCACAGGGCAATGCACAAGATATAAATCGAGATATTCCAGTTGTAGCGCATCCAACTGCATTTTCAAAACTTTTTCAACATCTGCTGGAGCATGTGCAGTAAGAGGAAGCTGCAAATTCTATTTATACCAAAAAATTACAAGGTCATCACATGAATTCCTAGAAATTCTTCCTACAGGACAACTGAGAACGAATCTAGAATCTTGGCTGATTGTGTTTCAAAGCACTTCACCATTCCCGAAATGTACATCTTTCCTTACCATGTTGTCTCACCTTTGAAGTAATGAATATATCTTCTCTTTTGAGTTTCCCATTCGTAAAGTATTCATGCAGCACTTTTCCGATAACGGCTTCATTTCCATAGACGAATGCCGTATCTGGGAATGAGCAGTATGAAATTCATAAACAGATGTTACCTTTTTTCTAAATTTACTCATTCCATTACTCTTCCATGTCAATGCCCCAAGCCTCATGCTTGTTTCAAATCAACACGATCATTTAGTACACTCGTTCTCCTGTTAGAGCAAAACATGAGTTAAGGCTTAACCCATGACCTAACCCTGAGCTTAATTGCTAAGCTGCAGAGCTCTGCAAAAGCCTCATTGTTGATAGTAAAAATACAACAAGAGCATGAATCAAGATTTCTATCTATGAATTTTCCAAAAAGAAAGATTATCAATGTTTTCATTTGCAGAGAAATCTGACCAAGCAATGTTTCATAGGACCAAAGAACGATTACATAGTAAGAAAAAAAATCGTTGCAGTTGAAGAACACTCAACGACTCATTCACATTGACATTTATTGATCATCCCAGCTTCAGGCGAAAAAACAAATTGTCTAGGCATTAAGACTGCTCTAAAAATTACTCAAGAAAGTCAAGATTAGCATTTTCATCACAAACCGAGGTTGCGCGCAGGAGGGATTCAAAAAACTGTAAAGTCCCTATGAGCGATTTCTTTCAACCATTGTGGCTTCTATCCTCAAACGTCTCACTATGTTTACAACACTTCCCACTCAAAACATATCAATAAGAACATAAAAGGCTTTTGACAGAAACACCCGCAAAACAATAAAAAATAAATAACAGGGAAGAGTGACGAGATAAAGTTGCTTTCTGACCTCGTGTTTCTCATTTAGAATATGAACCAAAAATAGTCAAAAAAATCTTCGCTTCATCATAGCGATAGTGCACATGACACTTGTCTAAACAAAGAAAAACAGATGCAGTGCAGTTTGTTCTTCTGAGATGATTTGGTTTTGCGTATAATTCTGGCAGTTTTCCAAAGCATCCCCTTCCCTAGACCCATATATTGGAAAAGCTTACCGATTAAGCGATAGCCACAGTCGAGAGCAGCCTTCAACGCAGCAGTAAGCTCATTTTCGTTGGTAGACTGAAATGTTAGGTTGATGCATAATTACTGCACCAAAATAGGTACAGACCGCAATAATCTGGAATAATCCTATATTCCAAATAGGATTCGATATATCATCAAGTGGAGCAAACCTAGCTCTACAAGAAAGTGCTCAAATATCTGCACCAATTTTGATCCACGCGAAGTTTTGAGCCAAAAACTGAAAAAAAAACCACGCGTTCGAAAACCTTGAGACCAATCAAAACAAAGTTGTAACTTCGTTCAAAAAGTTTCTACAAAATTTCTTTCTTGCTCACGCGTAGACATTCCACGTAAGATATTTATCTATGTGGTTGCTGTATTTATTTCTCAGCTAAACGATGAGAAAACAAGTTTTTGTCAAATCAGTGCTGAGATGTTTTAGCGCTGACAGTTGTATAGTACATGCCGTTAGCAGTGAAACTTTACATTTTCAGCCTTCTAGAACTGGTTCACGAGAAATGACGGATCTAGCTCTCCTTATCCGAATTTTTCTTGCCTAGTTGCTGAAAAATCGATGTTTCTCGTGAAAGCTGCTGTAAAGAGCTGGAAATTCAAGTCACGCTTGTAAGGTCCTAGAGTATACAACTGTCAATGCTAGAACATCTCAGCACTGTTTTCGAAAAAACATGAAAAACTTCGTTTTTTCAATTCCTAACTGAGAGAAAAATACAGCAACGCATAGAGGAATGTCTTATACGAAATGACAATGCATGAGCATTAGAAATTTTGAAGGATTTTTCTGAAGTGACTTCCAATCTTTTCTTGGTTTTTTGAGGCGCTTGGATCTTTTTCGTTTTTGGCTTCGAACTTCGCATGGATCAGAGCTGCTGCAAATCTTTAAGCACTATCTTGTAGAGCTAGGTTTGCTCTATCTAATGATATATCGAATCCTGTTTGGGATATAAGATTATTACGGATTATTTCGGTCTATACCTATTTTGGTGCAGGAATTATGCATCAACCTAATAGTGCTACAAAAAATGAGGTGATGGATCTAAAAGACAAAAAACTAGATGCGGGAGTTTATTATTGTGTCGAACAAAGATATTGAAGACATTAGCATACGTTGTGGAAGATGATAGAGACTGCTTGAGCTTTTTGCATAAACTCTTTCAATCTTCAACATTAACCGCGAAAAAATGAAAGATTAGGTTATATTGAGTCTCACTGCTAAGAAAACCTACTGCTCAAGCCTTATTGACTTTTTCAAGTGAGAATCTGCTTTTTTTCCTTTCTTGCTATCATTAGCCGCTCCTCAGAACTGCATCAGACATAAAACTGGTGCATGTTGGAGAAGGGCCCATCAAAGGAGCGTGAATCTCAAATATGGTGAATTGCGAAAAAATTCCACTTCTACGGGAAAAGCGAGCGATGTATGCATCATAGTATAGAGCAAGAACAGGGCTTGGCAAGAGGTGGCTTTCCGAAAAGGCAAAAAACGAAGTCCTCCTTGATTTCCCAAAATTTTGCGAAGTCTCTTTGACCTTAAATAACAAACGTAAAAAAACCCTCAAGGAACGAAACGTCGCCTAAAAAACCTAATTTTTCGGCCACAAAAACGATATCCTCTTTGCTTCTTGTCTCAAAAACGATATACAGCTTGCTTATAAGCCACCGGCGAGCCCTGAGCAGAGCAAGAATGGCTGTCAAGTCAATTGCAAGTAATCGAAGTCAACAGCCAGAGATTTGCTTCAAATACGCGAAGTATATGGCATGATTTACATAGTGCACATGTCGAAAAGAAGCACAGCGACGAGCTAACAATCTCTACGATATTCTGCTTGAAATTTATTACAAAATGACTTACTTACCAGCCATGTTCCAAGCCCAAGGATGGGCATTTCGTTACCCGAAGACAACTTGATAGTTGGATAACCCATCTGAAATTGCCTTTCTTGAAAGATGACAGACAGATTCTACCTCATTAGCCACGTACTCACATTCTTTGTACTATAAAATGAGTGAGAGAAGGAGAGAAGTGCAGGTGCAGGACGAAGACACTGAGGTGTTTCGAATGCGAGTGTGTGCAGGCTTAAAAGCAACAACAGCCATATGCTATTTTCTTATAAAGATAAGTTTAAGTTTTTTTAGCTCCCCAAACTCCTTGCTAAAAGTTGACTTATCCAAATGCATTAGATGACTTGTATCAAAATTTCTAGTGATGTACAAAACCACCGTTCGTGTTGAGACAAATCTTCAGCTTTGATTACCTCTCATTTCTGGACTATGCTGATTTCGAAACTTTGAGTTTTACGTTTTTTCTTAAGAAAAAATGAAGAGTCAGACTGAAGCAATATCGATGCATGCCTATGCCACAACGGCAGAGAATCAAAGATGTAAGAAACTCATATTCGATAATGCAAACCAAGCTTTGATTATGGCAATGTGAAGTTTGCACGATATTGATCCATGTGCAGAAAAAACTCAAAACATTTCAAATACTCAAAAATTGATCGAATTCATAATTATGTACCCTCCACATCGCATATTTATATATGCAAGTGGTGTATAAATGTCTGATGTTGAGGATATACGGTTTTTTTCATGGCTTAGAATCAAGAAGTGAGAGTAACATGCTTAGTAGGTAACAATAACCGCTCCAAAAAAAATTAGCCTTCCACATTGCCATAGTTTCAAAGATATATAAAATAGCGTAAAAAACGAAAGGGGCTTTGTAATTGTAATTTTGAGCCTTTAGAATCGTATTGGAGCCATGGAGAAAAATACACGAACTATGAATAAATGTTAGATGTAATATAAGTATAAGAAAATATAAGTAAGCTATGTATTTTACGATTCGTGAATTTTGAAGAAGATCCGATTATTAAGCAGTTATTTCGATGTCGGCATCAAACTTCACGTGAGTTAATCTCGAGAATGTTCTATAATACATACACCTAGCAGAACTTGCTTTGATAGAATATGTTTTTACATGGACATGTAGCAAGGGGCATGCATTAATTTTGCAAAAATCCGATATTTGAGTTCCAGAAAGCAACTTTTAGAAAAAGAATGCTCTAAGTATGTAATAGTACACAGAAAGAAATGGTAGGAACAAAGCCAAAGATCCGTCAAAACAGTGCCTTTTAATTACAAATTACGAAAAGATGAGACTACCTTTTCGTTCCCCATGCTTTAGCTAAACTTCGCCGAAAGCTCAATGCAAACGCCGCTCCAGCCATTTACAAATATCAAGCCAGGAATGTTCGTCTGCTAGATTTTGTATGTTAGTAGCCAGGACATAATAGATTACATAGACGGGGTAGTTCGTTACATACGGGGTTACAACAGGGTCAAGGCATCCATTCTGGATTTGGTTACAAAAAGAACTGCGTTTGATTAGATGGGAGAGAGAGACATCCCTCTGTTTGCTGCAAAAGCGAAGGGAATGAAAGTGAGATAAGAGTCTTCCACTTAGCTTTTTTCAGTGTTTGGGTTTGTAGTTAAGCGGATACTCTGGGGGAAAAAGCTTGTTGTTACTCGCTAGCAGAGTGTTCTTGCTCTTTCAACTGCACTATGCAGTTGCTAGTTTTGAAATCGTTGTTAGTATTTTATTTGCTATTTTCGCTGTTTCCAATACGACTTTCCCAACGTTTGCACACAACTTCCTAGCACGGCTCAGTTATACAATACCACCCGTAATTTGCGAAAAAAAATGGCGGCGGCACTTAACTTACGCGGCGCCGCCGAAGTTAGGTGACTTTTGCCGCGTCGCGCGACAAAAGTCGGCGGAAAAGCGGCAAAAGTCACCTAACTTTGTCGCGCAACGCCTAACTTTTTATAAAAAAAGACCTTATCTTGATTCAAAATTTATGAATTCTATATATAAGAGTACCATTCAACTGAGCTCGGCGAGGCGCATCTTCCAATATACGGATGTGCCTAGTTGTGGGATATAAGTTTCTTTCCTGGAATTTTAGTGTAAATGGACCATTCAGTGTGCTTATTCCAGAGGCTACGTACACATTCCATTGAGCACAGCAGAAATAGGGCAGGTATAGTTTAAGAGCTCATTCTGTATGGATATATGTGAAACTGGGCAGCTCATTCTGCATGGATATGTGTGAAAGTGGGCTTCTCTCGGCGAAGTATGACGGGTCCCAAAATGCAGGAAGAAAAAGGGAAATGGTTGGAAATCGCATGAGAAGCACATATCGCGGAATGCCGCGCGTGCTGTGCAATGTACAATACCACTCACAGAACGGGAATTGCGCGAAATTCCAGAAATTTCGCGATTCCGGATTATCGTAAATTATGCAGCGCCATAACTTCCTTCGGAATTAATATATTCTAAATTCGAAAGCAGCACTGTGTTCATCTCGTCAAGGCGAATCTTTCTACATACGTCATGTCATCTATATCTTGTTTTCAGTTTTCTCAAATTGTTCTGAGGAGGTCCCTTTGCAAGTATGTAACGCAGCGCCTATCCAATTTGAAAGCTTCCAGTATGCACCATTCGATAGTGCTCTTCTTGTGCATTATAGTGCGCTAGTAAGCTGCCGCAGGCTTCTTTTCAAAAGAGAAAAAAGCGTTGGTAAATTCTGGAAAAATCACTCGTTTCCAGATTCTACTCGCCGTAACTTTCTTTGGAGTGGATATTTTCTAAATCCGAAAAATGCATTGTGCTCAGCTCATCAAGGCAAATCTTTCGGTATGCGGAATGTCCTTGATATCTCGATTTCAGTATTCTCAAAACTTTCTGCGGACGTTTCTTCGCAAAGGTGTGAAGCAGCGCGTATTGCCCCCAGTACATTCAGAAAGAAATTTTCGATAGTACTTCTTTTGTAGATTATGGAGCGCTGGAAAGTAGCCGCGTACTCCTTTTCAAAGGAGTTAGAAGGGCTGGTGAATTCTGGAAAAATCATGTCCTTCTAAATTTTTCTCAACGTAACTCTAAAATATGAAGCTCTCTTGCTAAGCAGATGTGATTTTCGTAACCAGCAGGTCGGATAACCCTTACGAGCATGTTTTCCAAGATGTTCAAGTAATTTCATTTTTTCTCGTTTTACGCTCTGAAGCTGGCCGATGGATTTTGGTCAAAATGTTCATGCTCTTAAATTGTAAGGAAACTTCGCTTATAGAGGTTTTCGAACACGCTCTTTACGAAAATCGTGGTCCTTGAGGATTACAGGGTCTTTTTGGTGAGATACGGTGAGGTGACTGTAACTGCATCACGAAAGTGCGTAAATTGGCCCGCACTTCTCGCGTATCTGTCAGCAACCTTGCCTGCTTGCTTTTCTCAGTCAAAGTTACTAGGAACTGCGCTACCGAATGGTGCATGAATCAGGCTCCAGTCTGTAAAAATCACCGAGTTACGAGCCTATGAAAACACGTCCTCATGGATTTTGCCCAAAATCTAAAGATCGCATATCTCGTCGAAATTCCTCCGTGAGCGCTTGTATGACACTCGCATTGCGGATATTGTGTTCGCTTCGCCCAAAAACTCCCACTGTATTGAATATGGTACTTGCATATGCTTCAGCTACTCAGTTGAATATCAGAGCTATTTCAGTGGCTAGAACTCAAACTACTAAATCTAACACAATAAGATCCATTAAGGACGCGAAAGATTTTGATCAGCGTGTTGTACAAGCGCTCACGGTGGAACTTCGACGAGATTTGCATCTTTAGATTTTGGGCAAAATCCATGAGGACGTGTTTTCATAGGCTCGTAACTCGGTGATTTTTACAGACTGGAGCCTGATTCATGCACCATTCGGTAGCGCAGTTCCTAGTAACTTTGACTGAGAAAAGCAAGCAGGCAAGGTTGCTGACAGATACGCGAGAAGTGCGGGCCAATTTACGCACTTTCGTGATGCAGTTACAGTCACCTCACCGTATCTCACCAAAAAGACCCTGTAATCCTCAAGGACCACGATTTTCGTAAAGAGCGTGTTCGAAAACCTCTATAAGCGAAGTTTCCTTACAATTTAAGAGCATGAACATTTTGACCAAAATCCATCGGCCAGCTTCAGAGCGTAAAACGAGAAAAAATGAAATTACTTGAACATCTTGGAAAACATGCTCGTAAGGGTTATCCGACCTGCTGGTTACGAAAATCACATCTGCTTAGCAAGAGAGCTTCATATTTTAGAGTTACGTTGAGAAAAATTTAGAAGGACATGATTTTTCCAGAATTCACCAGCCCTTCTAACTCCTTTGAAAAGGAGTACGCGGCTACTTTCCAGCGCTCCATAATCTACAAAAGAAGTACTATCGAAAATTTCTTTCTGAATGTACTGGGGGCAATACGCGCTGCTTCACACCTTTGCGAAGAAACGTCCGCAGAAAGTTTTGAGAATACTGAAATCGAGATATCAAGGACATTCCGCATACCGAAAGATTTGCCTTGATGAGCTGAGCACAATGCATTTTTCGGATTTAGAAAATATCCACTCCAAAGAAAGTTACGGCGAGTAGAATCTGGAAACGAGTGATTTTTCCAGAATTTACCAACGCTTTTTTCTCTTTTGAAAAGAAGCCTGCGGCAGCTTACTAGCGCACTATAATGCACAAGAAGAGCACTATCGAATGGTGCATACTGGAAGCTTTCAAGTTGGATAGGCGCTGCGTTACATACTTGCAAAGGGACCTCCTCAGAACAATTTGAGAAAACTGAAAACAAGATATAGATGACATGACGTATGTAGAAAGATTCGCCTTGACGAGATGAACACAGTGCTGCTTTCGAATTTAGAATATATTAATTCCGAAGGAAGTTATGGCGCTGCATAATTTACGATAATCCGGAATCGCGAAATTTCTGGAATTTCGCGCAATTCCCGTTCTGTGAGTGGTATTGTACATTGCACAGCACGCGCGGCATTCCGCGATATGTGCTTCTCATGCGATTTCCAACCATTTCCCTTTGTCTTCCTGCATTTTGGGACCCGTCATACTTCGCCGAGAGAAGCCCACTTTCACACATATCCATGCAGAATGAGCTGCCCACTTTCACACATATCCATGCAGAATGAGCTGCCCAGTTTCACATATATCCATGCAGAATGAGCTCTTAAACTATACCTGCCCTATTTCTGCTGTGCTCAATGGAATGTGTACGTAGCCTCTGGAATAAGCACACTGAATGGTCCATTTACACTAAAATTCCAGGAAAGAAACTTATATCCCACAACTAGGCACATCCGTATATTGGAAGATGCGCCTCGCCGAGCTGAGTTGAATGGTACTCTTATATATAGAATTCATAAATTTTGAATCAAGATAAGGTCTTTTTTTATAAAAAGTTAGGCGTTGCGCGACAAAGTTAGGTGACTTTTGCCGCTTTTCCGCCGACTTTTGTCGCGCGACGCGGCAAAAGTCACCTAACTTCGGCGGCGCCGCGTAAGTTAAGTGCCGCCGCCATTTTTTTTCACAAATTACGGGTGGTATTGTATGTCAATGGATCGTTAAGCATAACAATTTTTTAAACTTGGCCGGAACAAAGGAAGCAGCCTCTACAGCATCACCCACTTGCGCCAAACAGACTAACGAAAAGTTGCTCCCTAGCAAACACAATAAACCCTTTTTCAGTGCTCCAGGAAATTTCTCACTGCTAGATGCTTACTGCCGCTGAATGGCAGAAGACGCCTCAAATTCAGCTTTAGTTGGTCGATCATGAATTGCGGAAACAACTTAAAGATCATATTATGAAAAATTTTTGCACAACTGACTTCCACTTTTTCGGCCAGCTATTTATTTTTTGTTTTGAAAGTTTTGCTAGACATATTACACCAAAATCAGGCAGTCAGAACTTTCCTGGAATACCACAATGGCAAAGAATGGAATAGTATCACCACCATTCCACCACCGGCTACAAAAGTTGCAAATGTTCTCGCAGAGCATATGGATCCGATAGTTTAATGGCCAAAAAACAACTCCTCTCCTAGGGCGATAATTCACCCTCATTTTTTCGAAGCCGCTCTTCAAAGTCACCGTCCACCCAAAATGGGGTTGATGAGATTTTGATGCCTAACAGCGATGGGGTCCCCAACTGTGCACTTGTCCAACTCGAGCTGGTAGATCTGAAGCGAGAAAATTGCCTCGAAAATCGCTCGGATGACAGTTCCGCCGCGTCGACTCCTCCACCTTGAGTGGGCGTGACGCGCACCCAACCAATCACCGATCCGGAGAACTCACTCTATGTGTTCTGGAAACGGGTTTTTTTTTTCGAGGTTTTCACGGATCTCGATTTGATATTCGGAATCAGAGGTGA